GATTCGGAATCTCTCAACAATTGGTCAATAAGTTCGGTAGTGAACATTTTCCACAAAAAACAACTAAAATTTTTTGAAGAAATCTCTCATAAATCAATGGTTTTGAAACGCAATAGTGTAGGAAAAAAAATCAACATGGTTTGGTCTCAATCCACCTCGTTGCATGTGCGTAATATGACTTATATTCAAGTTTTCTGATATTACTGACAGATGAAAACTTGTCGGCTACTCATACTTCTTATTTAGATGTGACTGTCAGCAAAGACACGCGATCTTATGTCAAGGAATAAATGCGCACAAAGGTTGGTCAGAAAACTGGCCAGGCGTGGGATATAAGGAGTTTTCTTGAAAGTTCAGTTACAGCGTTTTCTGTATCAACGACGTGAAACGTCCCAGAAAAAAAAGCAAAGTGGAACCGGGCGGCCTAGCCTGGAACGATCTCACATTTCTTCTAACAGCGTGATTGTGAGTGCGCAACGTAGTACGCGGAGAGATCGTTTTATCGATCCTCATCAATTTGATTAGAACTGAACATGGAATAACAGAAAGTGGGTCAACACAGAAACTTCTATTTACATTAATAGATTCTTAGCTTCATTTGTGTAACAGCTAATGCCAAAAATAAATCTTAGGGCTAGAAGATACATTTGTAACAGACTTGGAAATTTCAGTGAATCGAGGGAAGCGTTTTAACGCAAGTAACACCCACATATTAGGGGAACAGTAAGGAAAATGTAAAGGGACCGCGAACTTTTCAATGTCTGCAAGAAAAAGACTGTAAGAATAGCATTGAAAATTCTGTAAACAAAAAATCGAAACCAGAAATTTTTCTCGTTATCTTTATACTAGCCTAGTATAGGCACTTTCTTTATTTTGGATTTGCTTCGTTAGGTTTAAAAAAATTGTAAACACAATAGATGTTTTCCTGCTTTCGCCTATCTTGGAGCATAGAATTGTACGTGAAGTATCGATACAAATATTTTTTTGAAGATCATTCATACAAACTGTTGATGTAATGATGATGAATGAATGCGTAATATGTTATAAAAGTCAGTATATTAATTCAGACTGTTCACTACTCTTAGGTGTCTTCAAAACAATACCAGAAAATCTACAAGATTCAGTTCAAGTTTGTCAATCGATCATCAAAGTAGAGGGAAATGGAAAGATTATAAAATTAGTTGCCTTAAAACCTCCAAAACACGCGTTTTAGATTTTCGTAAAAATATCTCCAAACATTTCCAAAAGTCTCAACGAATGATGGATCCGAAAGGGCCAGTTTGCCAACCGCGTAAACCAAGACAAGTCGAACGGCACTTTGCGCTTTTCGAATAATAAAGTACGGAAGAGCACGTCTACGACTGATTGAAGTACGGATACATTGAACACACTAACATACGCAGCGTCACCAGATTTACTGCTAGTTGGATGATTAGCGACAGTTGAACTCATAATACGTTGATAATTTAATTCGCAATTCGTTTAGGAAACAAACAAAATTTTACATAACCAATGTATCTTTTGCCTGCTAAATGCAGCAATATATTTAAATACACCATGAATCAATCGCACCTAATTCAAATGCCACGTACGCATTATTAGACTAACTATATTCCCGCCTCACCCCGTCCAGTATCACAGAGATCCGCATGTAAACCGAAAACCTAAATCTGACACGAGCAAAAAGGTGACTAACGCTACCGAGAAGGGAAAAAAAGAAAAAGAAAAAAAAAAGAACATCATGAGTTCGTTGTCGTCGCCGTTGCGCCACAGCGGCAGCTGAGCGACACCGGCGCTGGTGTTGTTAGCATCAGTTCTGTCAGGCGGGTGCGGTCACGTCCCGCCGCGCGAGCACGCCTGCGAGGAGGAACGTGTTTACATATTCAGCTCCCGAAGGAGATAAATTGGGCGGCGGCCCGGAGACGGCCGCGGGCCACGCCGCTCCAGTGGCTGGGGGGGCGGAGGGGGGATCGCGATCGCGGGCGCGAAATTAAGACAGCCGTACGGAGCAAGGCGTTCACGCCTAATGACACTCGACGGTCGACAGCGGAGAAGTGCCAGCGCAGGGCAGGGGGGGCAAGGGGCGGGGCGGCGGCGAGGCGTCGACAAGGTCAGCGCGTGCGGGGGCGGTCTCTATTCAGCGGCGGCGGCGGCGGCACCCTTGTCGAGCAGGAAAGGGGCGACGGCTCGGGCGCGGGCGGGGCATATCGCGGCGCGGTTAGGGGGCTCGATGACAGCCGCGCATTGAAAAGGCCGTATTATGTCAATTTTAGGTTCCGCGCCGGGGCCTCTCCTTAAAATAATAGGGTAAACAGCCCGGGTGTGTGTCAAGGTGCGCGCGCGGGGTGGGGAAGGTAGTGGAGGCGGGCGAGAGCGGCAGGCAACCAACGCAACGGTCGCCCGAACACAGGACCGCGTGGATTAACTACAATGACGCGTAGAAAAGACGGAAGCCCAAGTGGCAATAATAAAAACAATGAATCTTGTTTTCATGACGTTAATGATGATGATGAAAGCAGTCGTAGAAAGCCTTGTAATGATGGGAAGGTACACCGAAAAAAAGAACCATTAGAGTATACCAGATCCATGACAATGTAACAAGGAAACTTGTTGCAGTGCCATGGATCTGTTACACTCCAACGGTTCTTTTTTTCGGAGTGGTTGCAATTAAAATTAAAAGTTAAATGAAAACTTCTCTGGTGAAGAAAAATCAGCAAATGAGCAAGTGGTATCAATTCTCAATTGTGACCCAATGGGAGGGTTTTGAATAGGGGAAATAAATGACAAGCCCTCATTGTAAGAGAAGACATGGTTACAGAAGAGAAAGATACAAGTGGCGACGATAGCACGGAGGAGTCAGCTACGCAAAAGGCAGGCTGGAAATCCTCGGAGGTGGGCGAGGAAGGTGCTCGGGCAGACGTTGCACGCATGACTGCGCGGAAGCCGCAAGTGGGCAGAACGGACCGGGAGAAGACGCACGAGAGGGGCACGGGCGAGGCTACGGTGTTGTGGTGGCGACGGCAGCGCTCGCCAGGGCGCAACGTGGGCCGCGGCGCTCGTGGGCGCCGCGGGGAAAGTCGGCCAAGTCGGCGGCGGCGCCGTCTGAACAAGCCGCCCCCGCAGCGACGCCCACCCCCGCGCGCGCACAGAGGCGAAGTGCACCGAAATCACGTTCCTCGCTGGGATCTCCAAGCAGCTTTTTCAGTAAACAAATGACCTTTTCAAAGGCGCCACAGGTATAAATAACAAGAACATTAAATGAACACCTTAGATCTTTCTTTAGTTCTTTGTATTTCTTTCGTTTCTTTAAATTTTCAAAATAAGAACGAATCGATTACGACAAGTGAGTTCAATTAAACACAATTTCATTTTCATCAAGTGAGTTCAAAGCACTTTAGTTTCATCTTTCATCAAGTGAGTTTAAAGCAAAATTTCCATTTTCCTCTGAAAAATGATTATTGCAAAACCTTTTATACCCTATTGCACCCTCACGCAAAAGTATACAAATTTAAAAATACAGATTTATCGTCATTAAATCACTACCTCGGGAACTTCAACGAAAGCGTATGAAGACTGCACTAACCGAATATCACATAAATAAGCAGGCGGATCCCGTAAAACTTCCCCGAATTCGCACTTTCTCATTAAAAAAAAAAAAAACGCATGTACCAAGAGGGAACGTGTTTACCTCCCTGATTCATGTGTCTCATTCCACTTTCGTCGTTTTTCGCGCTCGTCTTGTAGGCCGGGGTGTGCCAACGGCGTTGGCGGCGGCGGCGGCGGCGGCCACGCGGGGGCGGCCCGGCACCCCGCTGGGGCGCGCTGGAGTTGTATGTCACGGCCCGCGGGCGGGCGCGTGAGAGAGAAGTGGTTCTTGGGAAGGGGCCAGAGTGGTTTTTACGACGCGGGTCGCGATGTATTAAGCTATTAGATTAATGACCGGCCCGGAGGGTTTTCCTCTGTGTGCTAATTTACGACGTTTGCAAACGTAATGTGGCGCTGTCGTTGCTTGGCGCCAAGGCGCGGGCGCTCGAGAGAATAATAGACCAACTTTTGTGTACATAAATGATATAATTTCTTTAAATATGCACATGTCTACTTTATTGGTTTTATATATTCTGAAAATTTAATTATATGTTAAAATAATTTTAGTCCTATGGCAAATACTAAGCAAACTTATAGAAAAAAATCAAGTTTAAAAACAAGTTTGGAGGGTATTGTATCGCTTTCGTGTAATTACAAGAAATTGTCACATCGAAATCGAATAGTCGGTCACTCATGTCCAGAATTCCATCTTTAACATTTTATCTCTCAGAAGTTTCTTGAAAGTGTATCGAATGCGGCCAATGCTCCAGCAAATTACGTCACCTTGCACGTGCGAGTGTAGGGAGATAATCTACTTTCGATGATCTGCTGAATCCTAAAGACCTTAATATTATGACTTCATCGTTAAATTGCCCTAGAAATTGTAGAAAAGTTAATTTTTACGCCATAAAACTGACGTTGGGTCAGAACTGATACGTATCTTGTCATTATTTTCTAGAAGCTAAGATATTATCTAGAACGTGTTCACGATCCAGATTTTAGTAATATGAGAATTGTGGCGAACTTTGCGCACAAACGAAATGGGCCAATCATCCTACCTCAATTAGCAGCACTTGCTGGTGAAGAGGGGAGAGGAGGAGGTGATGATTATGAACAAAAAATAGCAATAATATCAAATACCAGAAACACTAAAATCTATACCCCAACATTTTGTACAATAGCATTCTAGAATTCATCCATTAATTTACGCGAAGGCGAAGACATTTATTATTATTATTATTATTATTATTATTATTATTATTATTATTATTATTATTATTATTATATTAGAAAACGTTTTGAATATACGTGTACTCTGTGAAATATTAGTGGCCCTCACCTAACAATTAAAGATGCACAGTAACATTCTCTATTTTTGTAATAACTCATATTTTCTAGATAACATTTGAATAGAATTATTTTAACACACCAGATGATTTTCTGTCATCATGAACTTCAAAAACCAAAGGCAACAATTCTAAAACTAAACGGTTTTAAAATTAGCATAATTAGTAACAATATAGCAGATAATCAGCATAGCATGTATACGAATATGGCACACATTGTTTCATGATATCAGGGTATGAATTATAGTAACGTGTTCTGCATCTACTGCATTCCACGTAGTTGCAAGTTACATACAATTTTGAAAGAAGATTGTTTTTCAAAAACAAATAAAATATGGCACATAAAAAAAACATTGTATTCGAAATGTTGATAGTACTGCAGCCACAAGCATTACAAAACAAAACAAGTCTTCCACTATCCAGTAGCAAAGGAATGAATCCAAGAAAGTGAGATAATTTTATGTTTACACAAAATTATTTTAAACGATGTCTCACATCTTTAAGAAAATTACATGTCTGGACTATTGTGGGATACGCCCCGCGGCCAAGTAACGAGCTGGTGCTGCCACCTTTCTGAAGACTCCGCTCAACGCGCCACTATAGCATGCTAACACTGCCACCTAGCGGGCGAGTAGAGAACTACTTTCACAGTGCTTGGACAAGCTGCCGAGAGAGGGTGCTAGTAATACAAGCAAATTGATAGCTATCTCATTCGTTCCTGTTACGTTCAACAATGATACTACTAGTTGGATTTGTGCGAACATTCTACACCTAAATAAAATTCATTTAAGCGACAATAGTTATATTGGAATTCAATTTGGAAAGACGGAGTCCTTAACTGAACTGGGAGCTGCAATATATTATTCCAACATTGTGTGTGGTTCACTTTCTTTATTGCTAAGCGTTTATTAACAGATAAGATTAGATCCGTGCGATTAGATAGACCAAAATATCAAATAGATAGAATTTGAGATTATTTACACTTCTGACTAATAAAACCTCAACCCACAAATTGAAAATCAAATCCAAACAGTGGATACTCATTACAAGAGTGGAAAACAAAAATAATAAAATCCCATGTAAAAAAAAAAGTTTTAATTTTTGAGAGAAGAGAACATAGAAGTATTTGAAAATTGTAATATTATATAATTCCACAAAAAGTAACCAAATATATGGGCAGATTTTCTGGTTCCTTAACAATGTGTACTCCACATTCTGTTCTACACTACATACTTGTAGTTTAAAAACTACTATTTTTCGAAATTACATTCCAGAATATTACGAGAGAATCTTATAATATAGTAATTATCATATCAAGCAAATGTATGTTCTAAATATTAATTAGCTTTTTTTATCAAGGGCTTCCCTGTCTTATCTAATCAAATTAATTTCAATAGTAACTAATTTTATCAAATTGGCTAATTATCATAGAAGGCACAAAATGTAGAGTAGAAGAATACACAGTATTTGAAATCGATTACGTTGGCGGTGTTCATGTATCGATTACATTGGTATTATCAAGCTTGAATTAAAATCAATATAATAGTGGAAAACACATTTTTACATATGTACAAAATAAGATTATATTTTACAAGCTTAAATTGAAATTATCTAGGGCTGGTTTGATTCAAATGTGTAAAATCATTCTAGTGTCATTTAAAATGATCACACCCATCAAAAGAAAAATCAAGAGACTTTCAGCATAATACCAAAAGTTAAGACTTCTGGTATTTTGCCTACAAATTGAAAATCAAATGCAAACAGTGAACACTTATTACAAGAGTAGAAAACAAAAACAATAAAATCACATGTAAAAAAAAGTTTTAACTTTTGAGAAGAGAACATACAGATAAAGTCTATTGATTTTTTCTTCGCTACATGCTCAATTTAGATTATAATTTGGGTCAATGAAAACACGAGGCTTTGAGAAATGAATTTAACAGAGAGCAGATCGATTCACAAAAATAATCTTCAGGATAGAGGGAATAGACTTGGCAAGAAGATAAATAGGAATATTAAATACGAAACGTTAAAATAAAAAAATAAAAAAGTCCTTGAAGAAATCTACCTTAGAAACTTGCTTCACAGAAATCTGAATGAGATGCAGCAAGTCATCACTTGTTACATATGTATATCCCTTTTATGCTTTTGTCTAAAACAAACAATTAATGTAATTCGAAAGAAAATAATGTAAAACAATACACACGGCTATTGGTATTTCGGCTATCTGTTTTTCTCACCAGAATAATTCAACAGAAAGCAGAAAAATGCCGTTAGGCGACGGCTGACCATTATCCATTTCGTTCACATACGTATTTGTACAGCTATAAGCAATATAAGAAAATCTCAACAAACAAATCAAACGTTCAGGATTGTGGTCTTTCTTCAGTGTTTACATGAAGCGCACGTCACTATTCTACGTCATCGAAACCGCCTTGCGCACGTGTCGGACGAGGGCCGAGCCACCTACCTGCTCGGAAGATCTCGCCGCAGCCATCGCAGCGGGACGCGAACTGGGCGTCGTAGCAGTTGCCGCAGTAGATCTTGTCAGCTTTGGAGCCGAACTGCTTGTCCACCAGGGACACGCGGCACTTGGTGCACAGGAAGCAAGCTTCATGCCAATGTTTGTCCTTGTAGGACAGATCCTGCAGGCAGAAAAAAAGCAGATGTTATTTCATTTCAATGTATTTTCGATGTAATGACATCGCTAAATTCCTAACCGAAAATAAGTTATTTTTAAAACGAAATTCTCAAGAATGTGACATAAAGTTTAAAACAAATCAAATCAGTTTCGAAACTGAAAATGGAGTTTGAAATGGAGTTTGAAATGGAGTTTTCTCAAGTTCAACAAACTACGTCTTTATTATTATTATTATTATTATTATTATTATTATTATTATTATTATTATTATTATTATTA